CGCTGAGGGGCGGCCGGGCCGCGCTGAGGGCGGCCGGGGAGCCGGGGGAGGCCGCGGGGGGGCTCCTGTGTCGGAAAGGGAGTTCTGGTTCCCCCTCAGGGCTGTCTGACCGGGCCGGAGACAGGAAAGCTGTGAGGTGCCAGCCGGCACGGGCCTCAGCGGAGGCCGTTGTGTTCTTGTGTTGGAAAAAGTAATTTAAAATAACCCTGTATTTGTTATTTCTCTATTATTTAGTACAGGAATATCTAGGTTGTGTTCCCAGTTAATGTTTTACAGAAGTCATTCCCTATCTTTAATCACTATTTTTTTTGTCTGTATAATGTCTGGAATGGGGAGACCAAAGCTGCAGGTTGTTGTCTTCACATTGGTTGGCTGGTTGGTGTAAAATAATTCGTACAAAGCATGAACAGGTTCGTTGCTTTTCTTGTATGTTCGACAAAGCAAATATTTTGCCTGCCCTTGAGTACTAAGACAATATTTTCAGCAACCTCTGTTACCCAAATCTTGCTTTTACCTGCTGACAGTCACTTTGGAGCCCATCACTGTGTGTATAATCATGAAGTCTTTTCCCTACATTGTTTATCATATTTAAATAATTGTTAAATTATTTAATGTGTTAAATTATTTAATCTACCATTTTATGGTGAGGCCTTTATGGAGTTTTGCTGAATAACGTGGTATTGACCTGTGCTTTTTCCTTGCTGGGAAATCCTGAGGGTTCTCTCAGGTCCTTCTGTGCCTTCAGTCATGAAACTGGTAATTTCTTCCTCTCCTTTGGTTTAAGCAATTGTTTATCCATGCAAGACAGTTTTCTTGTATCCTCAGGTGTTAAATAACATTTACATAGCATTTATACACTGACAAACTGTGGAGTTTGTAATGGAGTTTGACTGATTCCCAGTGTCTTCACAAAACCTCTTTAATGTGTGATGATTGTTTTCTCTTATACAGCTGAATTGGTGAATTGCAAAAATGCCACTGAGGAATGAGATGCAGGTATGTGCTGATGGAGCAAGATATCAGTACTGATTATTTTAATTACTAGCATTTAATTGTAAGGAAAGTCTTCAGTGTGGCTGTGTGATAGGAAGAAATTTTCTTTTGACATGGCTTAGTGCAAAGTAGCTGGGTGGAAAGCAAGAGGAACTGGAGATTCCTACTGATGAAAATAAATCATATGCATTTGGCAGAGGTTAATCAGCTGAGGTGATACTTAAGATCAAAATCTTGAAATCCAGTTGTAATTGATTTAGAAGGAATAAAGGGGCAAAATGGATAAAGTTGCTGAGAAATGTAAAATACTAAATGTACCAAGTAAGGGGCATTGGTACAATAAACACTTCTGTGGGAATTTAGTTGTAATATGAGGAAACAAAAGCCAGTCAAGGCAAATAATTAAAATCTCAGTGCATAAGTATTTACAGAATTAATGTATTAGATAGGGATGCTCTGTAGTTAAGGTTTTATACTTATTTGTGATTCAGAATATTTGCTTCAAATGCAGCAGGTGATTGTATAAAACTTGCATCATATCTGTGTTAATTAGATGTATCAGTGTTAAGCATACAGTAATACAGCTTTGGTATATTGCTTACAGTTCGAAAAGCTAGTTGATGAAGCTACAGTAAAAAAGGATTTCCGATCTTTGGAACAATTTCTGGCCACAGAAGAATGTGAAAATGTCTCTCATAAATGCAGTAAACAGTTTGTCAACAAACTGGACAAGCTTCTGTGTTGGGTAATGTAATCATTGCATCAAAATCATGTGCACCATCTTTGGAAGAGGGTAAAAAAATATTTTTTCATTTGGCTTGGTTGACACCAGCAGTTGATTTAAGAATCCAAAATAAATTTTATGAATGAAATCTCTCCTTCAAGCTGCAGTTAAGGTGGATTTTGAGAACAAAAAAGGCATCTGGTTAATTAAATATGGGCTCTTGTGGGACTTCACACTAAAGCTTATTGTTGTAATTTTTATTTCAGGCACTTGACAAACAAGAAGTCAAAATCATTTCTACTTTACTAAATGCTGTTCAGAAATGTGGGGAAAAAATCATCATAGCAGGAGAAGATGGGCTCCCAGCAATGATAAAACACGGTCTTGTTGGAAGGATAAGTAAAACCATAAAGCATCTGTGAACTTCTAAATAAACATATAAACATGAATAAAGTGCATAAGCAGTGCTTCAGTGCTGAGCAGCTCAGTGTTTGATTTGGTCCTTGACTGGGTCAGAATTAAGAATTTCCAATAACTCTGCAACAAAGATTGTTCATATTTAAGTGTGCTCTGTGAAGTGACCCCTTATAAAGGGGTCTGCTGCTTTATCCCAGTGCGAGTTTTGCAAATCATGTGATATATAATTAATTTAGATGTGCTTACAGCAGTTGAAGCACAATAAACAAGATGATATATTTTCATGTGCTTTGTTACATTGCTTTTAATTCAAGAATTAGAATTTCTTGGTGCCATTTATTTTTTTTTTTGTTAAGTCCCACAGCAATGATTTTGTACCTACTCTTTCAACATATTTTAGTGCTATTCTGATTATTTGGTGTTACTTTAACCTGCATGTTAGATACATTAGTCATTCGTAACTCAGCAAAAACTGAACAACAGACACCACTTCCTTTCTGCTTTCACCAGAGATTTCACTGGAGAAAATTAATGGCAATGTCAGATGAGAGCTATTGCCTTGTCAGATGGATCAATTGCCTTCTCAGCTGCTTTAATAATAAACAAACAATAAATAAACAATAACAATAAAGCTGCAAATAAAAAATAACTGTTGATCTATGCTAAAACTACTGTAATTTATTGAAGTTGAGGTTGTCTTAGATAAATTCCATTTAAAGTCATGTAGAACTCATTGTCTTTTCTTGTTTTAAAGTTACTGAAGCCCATTGCTTTCTTCAGTGGTATGAAATACATTACAAAAAATAAACAAAATTGAATAACAAACAAAATCTTTATGCTTGTATTCACACCACCAAATAACACTCTTTCACTCAGCTATTATCCATTTTCAGCTTTTGTCTGTGGTGGCAGGTGTCAAAGTAGATCTCCAGCTTTTGTGTTAAAAAGTCCTTAAAATCAACTAATTTTGTTTAGCTGGAGTGAAGAATTTCAGTCTGGGGCTAACATCTGCTCAGCAGAGTGGGGATGCTGTTGTTTTAATCATTGTAGATTTTGTGTAGTTTTACATAAGTATAATACAAACCATTGTCCTTTTCCAGGCTATTAAAATAGATTCACCTTTTTTTTCTCTTTACATGGTCAATTGGTTCGAAAAGTTAAAAGGAATTTTGGTCCTCAGAGGAAATGAAGATAATGAAATGCTTACAAATCTGGCTGAAGATTTCTTCATCATGTTGCTGGTAAAAATACATTGATAATAACATTTGTCAAAGTAATTGTTACTAGTTTAACAATAAAAGGACTTTAAATATGTTTCTATTTAATATCTTCCTAAAGTTAGCATTACAATGACTTCTGAAATAGATTATAAATAATTTGGTTTAAACAGTTTTCTGTATTCATACTAATTTCTGTTCATGGCTGGCATGAAATAAAGTTAAAAAACCAGTAACAGTAAATACTCAGTGAACAAAAAAATGTTCATCTTGATCAAATTTTGGTTACACCCAGTATTCGTATGCCAATCCAGTTTATAAGATCTGTGAGTTTTCATCTCTTCATAAAAAATATTGTCATTGGTGAAATAATTTCAGTAAATTTAACTGAAATATAATTTTGGGAAAACACACTTGTTAATAGAGATCATCTTCGATTCTTTGTTAAGGACAAAATAATTTCAAAATCTTAAATGCTTTTTTGATTACTTCCTTCAGGTACATGTTGCCTGATTTTTTTATGCTGTAATATTTTCTTTATCAAAATTATTTGGATTTTTTATTGCAGGTTGTGTGTGATAGCAGACCTGAAGGTAAGCTTAAAAAGCAGAAATGAGAGTTTAAAATGTCTATTTCAGCACGCACAAAGGACCACTTTTCTCATTCATGTGACCTCAGCTTTAGTTTGAGGTTTTGCTGTGGACAGATTTCCTTGTAACTTGCTGTTGTCAGTAATAAAAAAGCACAATAAGTCTCAGAGATGGCAAATTAAGTGAGTTATTCGTAAAAAAAGTTGCTTCTGTGGTCCTGTCACAGCTCAGCACAGCCCAGTGATCCTTCCTTATTGACCTTGTCCTTGTGAATGTCACCCTGCCTTTACCCATGTGGCACTGGGGAGAAAGTCCCTGCAGACTGTTTGGTGTCATGATCAGAGTGAAAAATTCATTTCCTGAGCCGTGGGGAGATAAATTTCAGTAACTGAGTTGTATCTCAGAGAGCTGAGTTATAGGATTGACCAATTATATTTAAAAATTAATAATCTCCTACCCAGGGGAATTACACAGTGATGCACAGGAATAGAAACACGGTTACTATAAATTGAAGTAACTATTCTGTTTTACATAGCACTAATCCTGTATAAAAGGACAGACACTATTTTCTAAATGAAAATGAATCCTTACCCAAATGTTTGTGAGGGGGCACCCTAATATACTCTTGACAGCTCTTTGATTTCTTTCTTTTCTTTTTGTTAGGTAAAATGCAAATACTAGAGAACTTTGTTCTGAGAACATGTTCCCTCATCACTGATACAAGAATTAATATTTATGTTCAGCAGGAGGTAAACATCCTTCTTTCTAAGCAGCAGTTTCCTGGTTAGTATGTTAAAAGACTTTGTGGAGACAGTTATTTAACTGTGCAGATGCCACAAAAAAGAGAATATTGTAGTGCTCTAGGATCAGAAGGACTGTATAATGTTTCTCTGGGAACATTTGTTGTTGTTTATATGTTGGGGCTGTTTCAGATTACTTTTTTATTTGTTTGTTGGGTTTCTTTCAGAGTAAATTACAAAATAGTGATATTAAAGTTATTGGTGAGGAAGCTGTATAAAAGCATAGGAAAAAAATGTGCTCTACAAATTCTAGAAATAGTATTAAGATTGTTGGTTGCAAATTCTTTAGTCACTTGCAGGAAATTTGCATTCCCTCCAATACACTCCAAATTTCTCCTCAGGCATCCTCAGGTTGTCAGGGGAATTTCCCTCCCTAAAGAAAGGGAAAGTTACCAGAAAAAAAGTCTTCTGTAAAGGCTACATCCCCAGAAGAAAGGTTTTTAAATGCTAATTTAAGGTATACTTTAGCTCAGCAATCAACTGCAGACAGAACTCTGGCTTTGGAAGACTTTCTTTATTTGAACCTGCAAATAAGAAACAACTGTTGAACAGCTACTGTTCCCAGTGAAACTAATGTAATTTATTGAGACTGTGGTTGTTTTAGTAAGATAAATACCATTTAAAGTCATGTATAGAACTCATTGTCTTTTCTTGTTTTGCAGTTACTTAAGCCTGTTGCTTTCTTCTGTGGTATGAAGTACATTGCAAGGGCCCAAAATAAGAATAACTCAGAGTTTAACAAACTTACTTTATATTTAATCTTGCTCCCTTTTTTTCACTCTTCTTAGGTAATAAAAAAACTGAATGCGTTGCTTGACAAGATGCCTCGAGATGCCAGGAAAAAGATGCTTTCTACAAAGGAGATGTTACTTGTCATGTAAATGATCTTCAGTATAATTTTTATATCATTCCATCATTTGGAATTTGGAGTTGGAAGGCTTAGTAAAAACTAAGCTGTTGTGCAGATTGGTCCCTGTGTAACTCAACTTCTGCACTTGCTGTTGAATTCTCAGTTGTAGTGGCTGTGGACATGTATTCTCATGGGTTATACTCCATTAGGAGCCTCAATTTTCCTCTTTCCCAGGAAAGAATCAGGCTTCTCCCCACCCCAGTTGTCATAAAATTAAATTAAACTCCTATTTGTAAAGATGTGCTTAAAGCACAGTGAATCAGTCACTGGAAGATTGGGCTGTTCACACTGGAAATTGTTTTACAACACTTCAGAAAAGCAAATAGAATCAAAGTGGTATCTATCAGGTAATTAAGGTCCCCAAGAAGTGCTCCCAGAGGTGTTTACTCCTTGGAGGTCTTACAGTTCCATGGAATCAGTGTCTCATACACTGAAAGTTTATAACAAACCTTTCCTCTGGGCCTTGTGTTGCTGTCACATTTTGATGGAATGTTCCTTTGTTTGGCAGGGGTGAAATGGGGAGGACGATTCTGGATGCTGGAGGTGAGCATGGGACTTAATTTAGTACTGAACTTCTTAAAAATTAGTTGCAGACCCATTTTGGAACCAGAGGAGGCATTTGAAGGCTGCAGAATGTTGTGGTTAGAGTGATCTGAAAAATACAAATACTGCATGAAAACAATCTGCAACCTGGAATGTTTGTGTGTTCAGTGTATGGAAAACTCATTGACATTTTTGGTTTTCTCTAGAATAAAAGTTTTCAAATGGGAAAAATGATAAAGAAGTTAATCTTTGAGGCTGTGAGCTGTGACTATGAGTAGTAGTCCTGTAACTTCCCTCAGGGATCACTTCAGTATCCAGCAATTTCCCAGCTCAGAGAGATGAAAATTGAAAGCTTCTCTCTCTTGTTTAAACACCTGGTGTGGCTCTGACAGTCCTGGAAAGTTGGGTTGGTTTCATTTTGAAAAATAACTTGTTTAGTCATCATAATTCCCATACTTCTTTTTCTAATTCTCCTTTATGGGTTACATATTTGGGTCTAATGGGATCTAGATTATGTTCAGCACTGCTTATCCCAGTTTCCTGATAATATTTTCCATCTCAGTAGTTATTTAAATCTGCTCTTGCTGTGAATTATGTTGTGCTGCAGACTATGACATGCAAGCGGCCATCACAGAAGCTCTGTGCAGAATGGTGTCAGAGAAGCAAAGGGGACTTCTGGCCTCCCAGTGGTTTCCCATGGAGTTTGTGTCCACTGCATTTAAAGGAATTAAAGATTCGGAGTTTGAGACAGTAAGTCACAGGAAAAATATTTCCGGGGAGGGAAACTTCCATTTTACAATTCTTGAAGAAATTTCTATGTTTTAATAGGACTGCAGAAAATTTCTTAACCAAGTGAATGGCATGCTTGGAGACAAAAGAAGGTAAAACTGGGTTTTTTTTTATGCTAATATATTTTCTTTTCTGGATTTTATGTTGTGATTAAATTTCATGTTACTTCCTTGGGGTAAAAATCACTGCTGGGATCATTAAGTCTCTAAAGTTTGTGAAAACACAATCCATTTGCTATATTCAGATCTGCAAAATTTATTTTACAGCATTGTAGAATACTTGAAAAAAATATCCTTTTCTTACAGGGTGTTTACATTCCCATGTTTATCAGCAGTTCTTGATAAGTATGAGGTAAGGTTTTCTGCTTTCTAGTTAAGAAAAACATAGAGATAAAGTAAGAAAATTACTTTTTTTCAGATGTATACAAATAGGCATGGACTGAAAGTTTTTCAAGGGTTCAGACCAACATGAAGCTTCTTAGCTGATAGTAATCAGTGTTGTCTACTCTTACTGTTTTATATTACTCTTTTTGTTTTAGCTCCAGATACCATTGGATGAAAACCTGGAAGAGTTTTGGATTGATTTCAACATTGGCAGCAAAAGTATTTCCTTCTATGTGGCAGCAGATGATGCAGTAAGCTGAGTTTTGTCTCCCACTGGGTTGTCCTGAGACAGCAAATACACATTCCTTGGAGTGTGTCAGATTTTGTTTCCCCATGTTCAACATGTTGAACTTATTTGTGCATTCTAGTGTTGATGGAGCTAAAAGAAATCCAGATTTGTTGATATTTAGATCAAATAATTTCACAGTAATTACTTCCTAATGCTGTTTGGGATTAGTTTAACATGTGCATAGTGAGCAATGGTGAAGCACAAGTTCCTGTCACTCTGTGTAACAGAGGTTTAAAAAGTTGGAGATTTGTCCTCACTGAATTACTTTGATCACTGGATTTCTTTTAATTATAATATAGTACTTTTCTATCTTTCAAAATGTATTTTTCATTTAAGGATCTTCAGTGGGAAACAGTTATTATACGAGATGATGATGTCAGCATGTACAGCCTGGAAGGTATTTGAACTCCAAATTTTTGTTGTATTCTAACTTGGATTTTCAATCTAATTTCATATTGATTAATCTTAAAGTACTGACTTAATTCTAGCAAAGCAGGATTCTCAATTATCTCAATTATCAAGGATCTGTTTTTATCAGGAACAAAATTGCACTGCAGTGACTGTACTTTGGACATGCTGGTGTGATTTTAGGAAAATAGTTTAATAATCATGTCTTAAGAGTTATTCCATTACAAAGTAAGGCATAAAACAATGACAAGTAACAATATTCCTTTTGAACTTGTTAGAACAGTAGCCTGTAATTTGTCTGCAGCTATAGTAAGTAACCTTCAAAGAAAATTCTGTGGAATAATATACAGAATAAGTATTTCTAAAAGATTACATTTTGAATTGTTTTACTAATAAAATTACTGTAGATTAGATGGAATTAGTACCTGAACCGAAGAAGTGTCAAGTGTTGACAAAGATTATATGAGATGCTGTTAAATTGAAATCAAGCTGCTTTTCAAATTTTGTCTTTGTCCAGAAAAAGATTCAAAGAAATTATTAACAATTGATCTAAAACGGCCAATGATTGTGGGCACTATTGAAGGAGGGAAAGTTCTTTTATATTTTGATTCTATCTTGGAAATCAAAGATGTGACCATAAAGATTTATGGATTTCATAAATGTAAGGTAAGATTTAAACACTTTTTGGAATAGTTTTTAATTGATTCAAACTCAATGTCTCATTGCCAACACAGTTCCAGCTGTGCTTATTGGTATCTCTCCATACCAAGAGTTTCTCATTAACATCACTGCTACAGAACTGCATCACATGTTAAGCTTTGGGGAAGATGCTTATTAAGTACAAGAGGAAATGACCTCAGGTTGCACCAGGGGAGGTTTAGGTTGGGTTTTATGAAAATCTTTCCACTGGAAGGGTTGTCAAGCCCTGCCACAGGCTGCCAGAGCAGTGCCATCACTGGGGTGCCATCACATGAGGATATTGCACTTGGGGATGTGGGTTAGTGGTGGGCTCAGCAGTGCTGAACTCCGTCACCTGAAATGGTTCTTTTATTCCAAGATTGAAAATGAATTGCAACAAAAATTACCAGGCTGGAAAGAGAATGTCATATTTTAATGTCAAATTTTGCATTTAATTTTCCAGACACATGACCTGGTTCTTGCAAATACTTTAAGAAATGATTCATGAGCTGTCTTGTTTTGCAGTGCAATTAACACTCATGAATTTATTCATTTAGTAAAACATTTTCAGCAAGCTACACCTTACTCCTTGCTGCTTTTAAGAAACTGCTTTGTCCTGAAGTCTGAGTGACTCATGAGGCATGAAACTGCTGTGAATTTGTAGAATCTGTTTTTCTCTGTAATCTGATTTCAGACACTTTTGATCTCTGACTTAAATATTTTGTTTCTTGTTTAAAAAAAGAGCAAAGTGTCTATTTTGACATATCCCTTTGCAGGATTTCAGCAAGAAGCAGTCTGCATCAGTAGCCAAAACAACTGTCCACGTTGTCTTTGATGAAAGTGGATCACAGGTATTCTACCTTAGTGTGCTGAGGTGGTTTCTTGGGTTTGTATAATTAGTCTGATTATTCAAAATTTATAATCATCTCAGCAAAAACAAAGACTTTAACATATCAATAAATATAGATAAGTCCAAAGCCAGGCAAGCAGTGTCTAGTATATGTGTATTGGTTTTTGGGGGAGGTATTAATATCTAAATTGTAGAATAAAACAGACAGATATGCACAGGACAAGTTGTTTTATATATGAAAAAAACATTTTTATAACAAAAATAGCAATTAAGTGGGTAGTTTTTCAAACTAAAAGGCTTTAACCTGAAGTTTATCATAATCTCCAGTGAGTGATGTGTTACTTAGGGTAAAGAAGTTGCTCTGTGTGTTTTTATAAAAATAAAACATTGTAAAATCCAAATATTGTATACAAATTAAAAGAAATTAAAATATTCTACAGGTTCTGCGACCAGAAAGTCTGTTGTCACCAGGTTTGAAAGGAAAATCTGGAGAAGAGGAGAAGCTCAGTAAATACAAAACTCAGCAACCTCCTGGTAGTTTGAGGACTCAGAGTAAAAACAACAGCCAAGAAAAACTCAGAGGTGATTCCTCCAAGGTAGGTAGGATTGTCAAAACAAAAAGGAGTAGAGAGAAAATACATGTCAGTTTAAATATTTGTAATATTTAATAGCCTAAACCACTTCTTATTTGACAGTTGGAACTGTAATAAGGGTTTGATTGTTTTTCTTATGACTTGACACTAAGCTATAAAAATTCTTTTGCTAAAAAATTTGTTAGTATCTTGAAACTACAGTAATGCAACAGAAATAAAAAGGAATTGTTAAAGATCTTTGGACCATGATGCTCTGGCAATTCCCTTTAATGAGAAGATTTTGAGGATATGCTCAAATGTCCCAGTATGGAAAAGTCAAGTATGGCCATAGAGACTGCTGGGGAGGAGCTAAGAACTGAAACTGTTACTGTGTCTTCATTCTGCAGCAGTGGGTGTCTTGCAGTAGTTCATAAACCTGCTTAGTTTGTAGCTTTGTCCAATTGCTGTCCAATGACAGGACTTCATTGAATTAATTTAGAAAACAAAAACCATGAATCACAGTTTAAAAATATTTTGTCGAAATATAACTGCATAAAAATCATGTTACCTTCTGCAGCAGAAGCAAATGACATTCCAGTAATGGAAAGTGTCAAGAGACTCTGGGCAATAAATTTTCTGAATTCTTCTGCTGTCATCCTTAAATCAGTGTATTATGGTCAAGTTCTTTCTGTTCCTCAAGGTAACTCCATCCCGTAAAAGGAAAGTGTCTGAAGCAAGTGTGCTTATTCCTAGAACTACAAGTGTGTCCACAAGGAGTCCACTGTCTTTTGTCAGCACATGTAAGTTTGCAAGTGCTTTCAGGGTAAAAAATACACTATAAATGGTCTTTGAAATCAGGCATGAACTGTGATCCTTCGCACAGCTGGAAATGAAAAGGAGAAATGATAAAATCTCCTGAGCAGATGCTTTAAACTTGAAATGTTTAAGGGCCACTTCTTCCTGGTCCTTAGACACAATGAGGGACCGGGCTGCCCTGCATTCCCAACAGCTGAGGGTCACCTGGTACTTCTGCAGCTGTCAGGCAGCTGCTGGTGCTGGAGCCAGCTGACAACTCAGTTAAAATATATTACAGTGAAGTCCTTAAATAGAAACCAACTATTTTCTACCAGAGCCAGCCTGTCACAAGCTTTGCTTTTGCCTCCAGACATCCACAGTCCGTGGGCTCTTAATCTCCATGTAACAGAGTTGGAATCAATGGAATTATTAAAGGTCCATAAGGGGCTGATATCAAAACTAAAAAGATTTTGTTGGAGTTTATGGAATAGCTGTGATAGTGGGCAAAACTCTTCCTATTGTAATGGGAGAATTGGTGGCATTCTAATGCATCTCTGTTTTGTTTCAGCCACTCCTTTTAAAGGGAGATATAAATTGCCTTTGGAAATGACCAGTTCTACTAAGACATCTGACAATGATGCAATAAATGATAGCAGAACAAAGAATTTCCATCAGGAACCTCCTGGAGTATGCATGTCCTCTGCAGCCAAGTCTTTTTCTTAGAATAACATTAATTTCTATTTTAATTTGTTCCTAATTCATATTTTAAAAAGCTAGAGTTTCACAGTTAGCAAGTCACTTTTAGAAAATAGTATGTTTTACTTTATTGCATTATGTTTTCTTACCCTCTGGATTGCAGGTTTAACATGTTTGAAGTTAGACTGAACTCTCACAAAATTAGGCCCAATTTGCATTCACTCATCAGTCTGACCCCAGTATTAACTTCCTATTTCTGGAACCTCAGTTCTTCCTTTGTGTATAATTGGAGAAAGGTGCATGCAATCATTTCTAATTGGTTATGCAATAGTGAAATAGTCATAAAACATAGAATACATTCAGCTGTGCTTGTGAAATGTTCCTGTCTTCAGCTTGCAGCATTTAAAGCATTGGTTTTTGAGCATGTTTGATCAGACATTCACTACCATAAAATAAAATTACATTGGTGTCACTGACCTGCAGTTTAGGTATATTTTTGAGTATTTTTTCTTCCTGTTGAAGAATGACCATAAAATAATGTTTTTATCTTGTTTCTGGTTGTGAATGTCTGCCTTGCTCAGATTCAAGTCAAGCCCCAGACTATGGGACTCTGAAGCATTTTTTGATACAGCCATGATTTGGAAAAGGCTTTCATATACAGAATGTTTTGTTTAGAGCATTTCTTTGGCTTTTATGGGCTGTAACTGGCAGTGTTACTTATGTGCTTTTTAGAGTGGGCAGAGATGCACAGTAGACAATGAATTTTGTGAAACAGACCAGATCAGGAAATCAGATACCAGGCAAAAATACATGGGAAGGTACTGGAACAGCACTGCCATGAAATGAGAAAAAGGAAGAATGTTTTATTAGAGAAAGCACAAGTTTATGAGGTTGTACTGCTTATGGTCTTGCATTAATATTTCCTTTTGGCTGTCATTCTTCTGCAGCAAATGCATTCTGAAGAAGTCTCAAAAATTGTACAAGAGGCCACAGAAAAGCAAACTTTGGGCAAGTAATTGTACAAGCATTGGTAATCCTTACTTTTAAAATTGTTTAAATTCTTTCTTTGGCCATAATAATTGACAGCAAAATTATTTCTCATATAGATGAAGTGTTAGATATTGTTCCTGATTCTCAGCCAGTTGGGAGAAGCAACAAACCTTTGTAAGTACTGGAAAAGAATTCCAAATCATTGTTGTCACTCACTTTAAAAGGAGACTTTTCACGAATTTCCAGAATTAAATTTTTTTATAAAGTAAAATGCTTTGATATCCCTAAGATATAATAATTTTCCTATTTTTATGATGCAGTTTTATTATAATTAAGACTCAAGTTCTGACAGTAGGATGGTGTTGTTTTTGTTAGGCTGCCTGGTCTTTTGGAGACTTCTTTTGATAAAACTGAAACATGGAAAAAAAGAACATTCCCTCTTCCTGAGCAGAATATAACAACTGAGGACAAGCAAAAGCCAAATTCATCACTGGCACATGCATCCCATCCAGGTGATGGTCACACTTGGTCAACTGTTAATCTCAAAAATAGATTCAGAGAAATTAATTTTCAGTGCTGCTTGTTTTTCCCTTTATTAATATTGGTAGTGAAAGAGCTGTGAAACAAAAAGCATTTATGCAGTTTTTTGAAGTATTTCTCCAGATAAACAAATGGAAAAAACAGAACCAAGAAGATTAAAATGATACTATTCTCAGTGAAGAGTCAGTGTTGATCATTTGGAACAGAAATTGTTAAATACAGAAGGGAAAAATATTGAAACTACTGAACCATGGTTTAAAACATTTCTTTCAGCCAGAGTGTCTGACACATCTTTGCATTCTGATCTTGCACAAGAGGACCCTGATGTTCTCCTCAGAAAAGAGACTGCAAATCCAAAACAGTCAAAGACAGTGAGAGTTTCTTACCTTTGTTTCTTCCACTTGCATTTAAGAGAATTGTCCAATTTTCAGTGTGTCAAAGTTGGTGGGTTTAATGTCATGGCAGGGAAAATGGTTTTCAAATTAATGTAATTTAATCCATTAGGAGACATTTAATGAAGTCTAGGGTGTTCTTAGTAACCTGAACTTGTGTTTGCAGCTTTGTTCTTCTGTTGGGTTTTGAGTCTTAAACTGTTTTTATAGAAACCAAAGTCTAAAGAAATGGCAGATACAGCCAAATCACTGATCAGTAAAATCAGTGACAGATACAGAGACAAGAGCAATGAGAAGAGCAAAGCAAGAGATTCCCTGTGCTTTAACAGGTACGATGTCAACTCTTTCCTTTTGTGTTTAGTCTTTGTGTGCCTCTGGCTGTCTCTGTGATGTACCCATGAATGCTGATAAATGAAAGGGGCTGAGCTGTTTTAATCCATCTTTTAATTGATGTTGTATTTAAATGCATAAATAAATTTACTGGGTTTGTTAAGGTGGGTTTTTTTATATTGGCAGTTTTTCTAATGCATATACTCTGATTAGTATTTAAAAAAATATATCTTTATTTTTAGGACACATTTAAATAAATCCTGGATCTCCAAGGTAACACATTAGTGCTTTTGTTGGAATTGTTTTTAATACTTACAAACATGGTGAAAATCAATTGGTGTAAAGGGAAAGTTCTTTCTTGTACTTACTTGAATATGAAGTATCTCTAGATGTTAATGTTAATTATTCATTGACTGCAGATATGTTTTGCTATATTGAACTGTTGTTAATCAACCTGATTATCTTCATGATGAACTTGTTGATTTTTGAGATGACAGTGTCTATGAATGTACAGTTCAAATTTGACAGAGGAGCTAACTTTTCATTTATGGATAGGAAGAAGTTCAGGACAGGACCACAAAAACTGCTTCTTTCCTCAATATAACTACTAGTCATGTTCTGTAAGTAGTTAAAACATTTTCACACACAATTTCTGATTACCCACACCTGACTCTGTGAAATGTTCATTAGGTCAGTCACAAAATTGATCTCTGTGTCTGTTTGATAGGGATGATGCCTACAACTTTAACATCAGCGGGTTTGATGGGCCTACAATCAAGCTTGGCGTAAGAAATAACTGAAATTTCTATTTTATGAATAGACTAGAAAGGAAGTAAGTCGAATGTTGTCTACTGAAAGTATAATTAAGATCTGAAAATTCAAATTATATCAGTGAACTAAGGTGGGGAGAAAGTTTGCCGTGTAAATACCTCCAGCATTCTCAAATATTGAACAATATACTCCATCTTAAGATTCTGGCCACTTCAGGCTATGATGATGTTTTTCTTCAGTTAAGAATTAAACACTGTGTTAGGAGTATCATTTTAAATTATCCTGAAAAGGTTATTGGCATCCTTCTAATCCCCATTTTAAAGACATCTTTATCCAGTTGTTTGAGCAAAAAAAAGTCTAATGATGATAAAAGATAGTTTTGCTTCTTATGGCTCAGAGGAGTGAATTGGGGAAGGTTGTGAAGCAGGTGGGTGGGAACTCTTGTATTGCTTTGAGATCCTGAAAGCTTCAGTTTTAACTGTCAGCTTTATTAAATAAATTCTAAGAAATTAATGACCCTTAATTGCTGAGTGTAATAACTAAGAATAAAAAATACTCCTTAGCAATTACTGGCTGGTGGCCTGTTTCATTTTGTACAGATTCTGTAACGAATGAAAACCTTCATTTGTTTCTTCTCCATTTGCATGTGACTGAACTGAGTGTTCATACAGAGATAAACAAAAAAGGGTAGGATGTCCTGTTTTGATTGCTCATTGTCCTAGTACAGCCTGCACTCTCCAGCAGGCAGTCACAATATTCCAGGGAATGTTGCATGACAAGAATATCTTGGCAGTGTTGGTTTTTTTAAGCAGTAAACATTGCTGTGTTCTCCCAGGCTGTTCCACGATGGTCATTTGGGAAGGTGATAAAAAGGAAAGGATGTGTTCCATGAAGGAAATAGTTCTCCTCATGGAATACTACAGGGAGAGAAACTCCTGAGGTGAGGGGGATGGTTTTTGGTTAATGATCCTCCTGGAAAGGGCTGTGTTGTCACTGTGTACTCCTACTGATAACTGGGACACAAACAAAGCCTTTAGGGTTTAAGGTAAACAGGTAATTCCAAAATAATGTGGAAAAAAAAGTAAGTACCTTTGTTTGAATCCTTAATCCAGATATCATGGGAATAGTAGGAAGTTTTAGAACAGCTATTTTAAAATATATTATTTAAAGGTGGGTTTTATTTCTCTAATTAAGGAACACAACCATCAGTAAATCCAGCGCAGAAGGGAAGGGAGGAAAAAAGGTAAGGCTCAGTTTTTATGGATGAGCATAGCTTGTCCTCCTACCTTTAAATACCAATTATGTAAGTAGACTGTGTATAAAAATTAATCAATAACTTATGAGTTTTTTTGGATTTATAGACTAGAAACAATCGAGACAAGAAGCATCTCTTTAGTGATTCAGACACAGAAAACAGAGGGGATGACAACAAGACAGAGATTAGCTGGCTGGAGGAATCCAAGAGGAAACCTAAAGCCCGGATAATTGACTACAGTAGAAGTAAAAAATCAGGGAAACAAATGAGCACAAACAAAAGTAAGAATTTTGTTTTCATGTTTCTGAAGAGTGATGCAGTAAGTTTGTCCCTAGATATGAAGTGCACAGCATGGCATGTGCTGTGTTACAAATACCATATATATTTTGTGGTCTTGTTTCCAAACATAAAGAATTTTCAAATTAGTTCTAATAATTTATAAAGATAAATTTACACAATTTCTGTGTTTTAATGTGGAAAACTATGGGAAGATGGGATAGGTACAAGTTGTTGTCAATTAAAAAATGTCTTTTTCAAAATAATGGGCAGAAAGCAATTACTGAATCAATCCATTTGTGGGCATGACAGTTACTCTGTTGTTTTACAGCTAAAATTAATGTCAAACATTTGAATATTTTCCTGATTTTTCAACCTTCTTGTATTGTAGCAGCAGATAAATCCTCTAAACCTGCTTGCCACATGGATAAAGCTAAAGACAAAAATACAAATAAGAAAAAGGTAAATGTAACTAGAATTTTAATACAGATTAAAAATCTCTTAGTTCCCCCCAGAAACTGCTTTAAAGTAATTTTTCATAAATATATGACATTTCTCCCAGATAATTTTTTTAATACAGTTGATTCTTTTAAAGTACTGTATTCTTTTCATATAATATTTAGCTGGTTTGTCAGTTAGGAGTGAGTTAGAATGATTTTTTACATTGGTGGCTGATGGCTGGATTCTCTGAGCTTTGCTAAAGTTAAACCTTTTTAGTTTCAAGTAATTAAAGCAAGTTATCTGCCATTTTATCTTATGTATGTATTAATGATTCTTGTTAACTGAAGATGGTTTTCTTCTTCCAAAGATGAACAAATATAAACCCCAGAATTCAAAAACAGATGAAAAGATAGTAAAATCCACCAGAATAAAACTCCCTCGAAGAGCAGCAGCAACAAAAAATTACAAAGAGCCTTCTAGTTCTGAGTCTGAGAGTGAAGAAAACATTCCAGCATGCACCTTTAAGGAGGAGAAATCCAAAATACAGGTGTGCAATTCCACTTGGTTATTAAAAATCCATTCCTGCCATGTTTTCCAAAGTTAACTTTTCTCTGCTTTGTACTTGGTACTCATGAATTTTAAGTGCCCAAGATAAGCAAATTGAAGTTAATTTTATTATATTTAATATTGCCCTTTTTTTAATGCTGGGTATTGAGCTGCCAAGAAAATAGTCCTAAATAATCTTCTTAGTCATAATAGATTCTGGTTTCTATTTATGAGATTTATTCAGTTGCAATGAACTACTGTGTGCTGTATTTTGAAAATGTGACAATACTTTGAAAATGTCCTTCAATGGGAGGGTTTAATGAACCAAATCTCATTGAGCTGATGTGGTGCTGGTAATGCTGTGTCAATACATTTGCTGAATATCCAAATGGATTTTTAGTAAAGGAACATTGGTTGCTAAAATATTTTCATTGTTTTACCATAACACATCATTATATATGGAAAAGTTTACAAACTTCATTCATTAAATCCTGAAACATCAGTAATTGCCTCCAGTAGTTAAGTAGTTCGTAAGAATAGAAATTTATGTGTTGAGTTAAAGAAATTCAGTGTTTATTGATGTTGGAAAACCTGATCTGCTTATGGATTTAAGTACTTCTGATGATGGTCCTTCTGCTTAATCAGTGGTATGTAGATAATAAATCTCTATCAGCTTTTGTGGACACTGTGGTAACAAAGATGTTTATATAACTTTTGTATTTTAATAGAAACATATGAATGGGGCAGACAAGGATTACAAGCTGCCAAAGGTACTGCAGATTGTACCTGTGGAGCCAAAGAGAGTGGATAGCTATGTGCAGAAAGCACTGGTCAAATCCAGGAATTCTGCAGAGCAGAAAGAAGTGGAAATGCCTTCAGTTGAGAGCCCTGCCTCCATTGAGACAATAAGATGTAGGTATTTCCATTTTTAATTTTAGCAGTACTGAGTCAAGAGGCGGAGGTTAACTGGGGGTTATCACAGCAGTACAGTTTTTTCATGCTTGTAAAATGACATATCCCATAATTCCTTGTTCTACATAATTTAAGGAATTGTATTAGTATGTTACTAACACTTCTGTAGGCTGGTGCAAGTAAATTTGACATCAGGGTAGTACAGAAAGTATTGTATGTCAGTGTTAGAATAAATCTGGTCCTGCTGAAACAGTGGCAGAGGGAGAAAGGGCAAGTGTGGCAAGGCCTGTGCCAGATTCCACACAGCTGAAACTTAGAAGTTCCCAGGGCTGGGGCAGAGAGCAGTGTGGGGCATTGGCTGCCCTTTTGTAACTCCCACTGCTGGTGCTGACAGTGCAGGAACTGTTTCCCAGGTGCTGAGAGAGTGTCAGAAGATGTCAGTCCAGAGCACGGCTCCATTGAGAGGTTGCTTAGTCTGCAGGACTCAATACCAGAAGACAGGGAAATGCTAAACTCTGAGAAAGGAAGCTCTCCCAATAATTTCTGTCCACAAAACAAGAGTATGGAAAGTCTGGATGTAATTCAGTCCCCTGAGAGAGGAGTTACAAAGTTGACACTTGGAAGGAAAAGCTTCTCACCAGTTTTAACTGAAGAATCTTTGGTAAGAGCATTAACCTTTCTCTAGTGTTGTTTTAACTGAAATTGTTCCATTTGGCTGCCAACTGTTTTTTGCTTCTCCTCTCAATAATGTTTGGGATTTTTTGTTCATGTGCAGCTCAGCTTAACCACGTTTAAAACTGTCAGTGGCAAAAATTCCAAGGGAACTGCTGAAGAAACCTGTAAGAATGATGAAGATTCAAGTTTCCAATGTTGCTTTTCAGACACATTTTCTGTTAAAGGAAAGCTTCAGGATATCACTAAACCTATCCCCAAAAATAAGGAAGAGGTATGTTCCTAAATTCTTTGCTCTTCAGAAGAGACCTGCAGCTCTTTGCTTAATCAATTTACAGGTGGTGAGAGGTTTAAGGGACATACCCTTTCAATAATGATGTTTTTCCCTAATGTGTAGCTCAGCTTAACAAGGTATAAAGCTGACAGTGGAAAACGTGCAAAGGAAGCTGTGCTGGAAACAGAGAATAACAATGAGGATTCAAGTCTCCAGTCTTGCTCTTCAGACACACTTTGTGCTAAAGGCAAACTCCAGGATCCCACCAAACCTCTCACCAAAAGTAAAGAGGTGAGTTAGTACATTCCTTCCTCTCCAGAAGAGAGCTGCAGCTTAGGATCTCTGTTATCTCATTTCCAGGTGCTAAGGTTTAAGGGAAGTGCATTTCAGTATTTAACACAAATTTTGGGACCTGCTAATAGTTAATTTTTAAATATTGGAGATAAATGAGATAATTGTTGACCATATGGATACAATGAAAGAATTATATCCCAGCAAGATCACCTATAATTCATACTTTAAAAAATATAACAGGGAGTAAATATTTTCTTAGTGACTTCCAATAAAAATAAATTATTTTTCACAACATAAAAAACATCAATTTCTGATGGAGACTTCTAAAAGCAATTTAATTTTGAAGCTAATGAATAAATCAATGACTTTTCTTTTAGGATTGTGTAACACCATTGTGTGCTTCCAGCAGGAGTAGAGTACAGCCTTGGACTAAAGAACCTTATTCTCTCATGGATGAGTCAGGTACAGACATCTAATTTAAAGCAAAATACTTCCTACGTGTCTCCATAAGGGTTAAGAAAAATGTTTTATTTGGCATAACAATATGGCCAAAGTTTTTAATCTTATTATATTTTATATATTTTCAGTATTATTCCATTTTTTACTCTTTTTCTCTGCTGTTTTAATTATCCCAAAAAACCTGAAAATCAGGCTCCAAAATACAACTTTTGTAAAGTTAGTTGTGCTCCAAATAAAAAGTTAGATGCATTCCTACCGATGCTGGGATAATGGTTTTATCAGAAAAAATCCCAGGCTTGCTCATCAGAGTTCAGTTAAACATACCCTCTGTAGATGTAATGGTTATTAATTTCTATATAATTCTCATGTTCTAAAGCCAAGGTACATGCTCCTAGAGTTTGCATCCAGGGTGTCAATAAAATCTTCTTCATCCTCCCATCTCATTGTTCTAAATAATGCTAAAATTCAGCACTGTTTCCATGTTTTTTGAAGGACCAAGCGTACAGACATTCTTCAAACGAACTTATCACAGTTCCACAGAAAGCAGCTCTGATGAGGCAGAAACAAGGAAAGAGGAGAAAAAGAAAGGAAGGAGAAGAAAAAGTTTGCAGCCCAAAAAATTATTTAAAACAGATGATGATGCTGCTTACAGAGGTTGGTCATGGACTGACAGTGCAAAGTTTTAAAAGAATGTGACCAAGTTTTAACAAGGAAACAATATCCATAAAAAGGCATTTTACATGTTAAAGCAAAGAATAAAAAATGCTAAATATTTAAAGACTGGATCCATATAAAAAGTCAGAAAATTGATATGCAAATAGAAACTGGTTTCAGCCACCTAATTGGTGACATTTATATAGAACAAAAGCTGTCCTATCAGACTGGGGACTTTATAATACTGAATTTGACATTGTTTTTGTTCTCTTCAGTGTCTGAAAGTATCTCCACTCAATCTGTAAATGACCTGTCTGGTTTGGATGGGGAATTCTGGGGGCCTGATTGCTCAACCATCAGCATTTGTCAACAGCTCCAGAAAGAATTTACCAAGAAAATTGAGGCAAGACCCTTCACGTCCATCACTTGGGGGATACAAGAGCACATGGGTGACAGCTTGGCTTACACCACACTATTACATTTTTAAAAGGGGGTTTGTTGTGATATTAAGCAGTTACAGTACTGAACATATTTTACAGGGGTTTTTTTCCCTAAAGCGCAAATAATCTGAATTTCATGTTAAAACATCCTCTTAGAACCGCTCCCGGAAAATGGATAATTTTAATAAGCAAACACTGAAAGCTGCCCATGAGCATTTGGCAACAGTGAGTTACCAACTCCATGAATGCAGGTCAGTTTCTGTTAAAACATCCTTACAATGCCGTGAATACCTTCTGTAAGTAACCTGATTTGTTTTGGTAGGATCAGGCAGTTGGACAAATTTCATTTTACTCTCACTGAGGAACTTGAGAAGTTTGAAAAGGACTCTCAGTCCCTGAAGATCATGGAAAAAGAATTCTCGGTTTGTATTGTAGTTGTCTGATCATGGGTAAAAAAGAGTTCTTGTAGAATCTGTAGATGATTCACATCATCTTTAACTTAATATCATTAATTTGGTTTTTCAAAGCCCTTACCTTTTTGCTTCTAGTTGGGTCCAGTTTAAAATAATACTTTTGGGGTGTCAGGATGCCCTTAGAATCCCAAGGTCACTCTGTATTTTCCTACATGTATCCACTATGTGAATTCCTGTATGTTTTTCCTCCTACAATAAACTTCTCCATTAAATAAACTTTAATGGGCTGGGTTCTTCCAGCTCCTGTGGGGGCTGTGTAAGTCCTGCCTCTTCTGTGTTGAGTTTTTGTTCATAATAGAAATTATTGACTTTTAGTTTGGAAAATCAGTTCCTATTCATTAGCATTTTGTAATATTTTTCTTTGCAGACCTTTTGGAAAAAGCATTCCCACACTTTTAGTACGTACATGAAGAATGAGCAGCAGAGGTCAGTAGGGTTCTCTAATCCTGGGATGAGATTTGTGTTCTGTTCACTTGAGGGAGATCAGCACAACTCCTTTCTGCAACTTTTTCCATAAAAGAGAGTTGATTGATGAGAAAATTAAATTAAAATGTTCATGTAATTATTCTCCAGCTAAATTTCTCCACATACCTGAGAGACTGTTCCAGCAGTAACAATGATGGGGATATTTACCTGTGCTTTTAATGCAAATAGACTCCCAGCAATGTGCTTAATGTGTATTTGTGCTCTGTATGGGAAGTTCTTATGTAGCAAAGCTGTTTGAACTGTCTTCATTTCTTTAGAATTCAGATTCTGAAAACTTCCTTTGAAAAGAATATCTACCATTCTGTTGAGTATGAAGAAGATGTTTTTACTTCAGAGGTATGGAACTTCTGTTTTGCTCATTTTAATAATTAGTTATCAGAATTTATTCTCAATTCTGTGACTTTGTTTATTGGTGTTACTCATGGTGTAAGAAAAAATTTAAAACATCCTTTCCCATAGGTAGGTGGCTGCATGTGCATCTGAATCTCTTGATTATGACATAGTTAGGGATATCATTGTTTGCTTGAAAATAAGGAGGCATTTGTGAGCAGAGGAGATGCATTCAGTATCTTTTTGTAGATGCATCTGATGAAAGAAGACATAAAAGGACTCCAAGAGAAATTTTTAAAAGAAATGGTAAATAAATTTATCTTGTCCTCATTTTTATTTATTTTTTGTGGTTTGAACACTAAATTACTAAAATTTGATTTCTAGTCCTCTATCAAAAATAAAAATTAGTCAGAATGCAAATGTCACCGACTTATTATATTTAAAACCTTACCTGGGTGATGGGAGCCACAGGGAGACGTGAATGGACTTGTTTAGTTCTGAGTCTTAATGTCGAAAAGTATCATCTTTGATATGTTAAGCAGCACGTACAGTGCACCAGGATCACAGTACATTAAATAAAATCTGCCTTTTTCCAAAAGCATGTGATAAAAGTGATAAATGGAAATTTTTTGTACAGCAAGAAGAGGAGCTGTGTAACGTTCGCAGGGGATTGCAGACCTTGTTTCAATCAAAGGCAGAATTCTGAAGTGGTTTTTCAGATTCCTTCCTGAAATTCAAGGTGAATATAAACACTTTTGTAATGGAAAATTTGGTAACTTTTTAATTTCTTTTTTCTTTTTTTTTGGTCACACTCAAGGAAACCATGTAATGAAAGCATATTTTCCTTAATAATATTAAAATCTGTGTGCATAAGACTTACCTACTCACCTGTGAGATTTGGAATTATTTTACTGAGTGCTAAAATGTAATATGCTATTTTATTTTTAGCACATGTTACTTTTAAATAAGTTTTTAATAATTTTTATAGGTTACTTAACTGACTTTCAGAGAAATCACTTGGAACTTCATTTTGAATCTACATTTTGTGTCTGATTCAGAATATAAGAGAAATTATTTAGGGACCAAACCACCTGGTTTGATCTCAGTCCTGTTTGTTTGTTGTTAGACCTCAGTAGGATTTTCTGAGAGAACACTCTCAGCACTTGGGTTGGAACTGTGTTGCAAATAGTTCTATTGAGCAAGTCAAAAAAATAAAACAGATGCTGTCTGTTGGGGTTTTTACTCAATGACATTGTTATTTTGCTTTAAAACAGCAAGAAGTCAGATAGAGCTGCTGTGCAATTATTTTTGGGTAAGAATTTTAAAGCCACAAGGCTGTGTTGTCTCTGGAAATAATTACACTGAAATTTCCAGTAAAAAATTTGGTCCACTCATCCTATTTACATCAGTGTACGAATGTTTTCTGAGCTTCTGGTTTTTGTGTGGTTTGGGGTTTTTTTGAGCCTGTGTTTGCTGTGATCTCCACTAGATGGACTCCATGAGATGTTAAACTTTTCACTTGTCTGAATTTTATCTGAATGAAACAGGGCTTTTCCCTAAACTGTACAACGTTTAAAAATTCTTTAAAAAAGGCCCAAATTCTTTCTTACAATGAGGTCATGTGGGAAAAATAATACTACTGCCTTGTTTTTAGCTAGTGACAGGCACTGCAGGCCTGTTTCCCATTGGGAGGATGATGCCCGAGAACAGCCTCCCTGAGCCAAATGTGCCCTCTGAGGTGTGATCCCAAATTCCAGCAGGAACCAAGCACAGTCCATGGCCCAGGGAGTCCAGACACCCCCACAGACCCCCCAGCAGCAGGCAGGCAGTGCTCAGTGCCAGGGGGAAGCAGCTCTGGAATTGTCACAGGCCTCCTCCAGGAGCAGAGCAGAGGCTGGGCCGGCTGAGGCGGGATCAGAGCCACTCAGAGCTACCCCAGGTGCAACAGTGACACAGCTCAGGGGCACTGTTTGACATTTAAAAGCTGCTCTAAGTTACCCTTACAATATTTTTTATTATGTTTTTCAACATAATTTTAATGTGTTTTATATTTATTGCCAGTGGAAGTGTGCATCCCTGCTGAACAGGACATACTGTACGTGGATTATAGACAAGTTTAGTTTGTAGTTAACCGTGGCTCATCTGCTCTGCTCAAGCTGAAAATGCTGCTTCTGCTGAAGGAACTTTGCTCTCCTTTCTGTTGAGACTTTTTGTATATTGCACTTGGACTATCATTATATTGTTGTTAAGAATTAATCCTATATTATTAATAATATAATGATAGATATATGTATGTTAAAAGGCTAGTTATGATGTTATATATTTCTGTAAAAAGCCAACAAGTTAAAATATTACAATAAAGAGGGAAAAGCACATCTTGGGATCAAGTGATGGGGTCACTCAAGTCTTCAGCTGATAGTCAAGGCAAGCATGAAAATGTTGACACAGCCTCTCCCAGGAGTCCTTATTTCCTTCTCCCATTGCACTGCTACAGACTTTGTGTTGCACCTTGTGTCCTTACCTTCCATTCCTCCCTGACAGTTCCTCCAGGAGCAGCTCCAGTTCCTGTGCTTCCATCCCCAGCTGGGACAGAACTGACACTGTGTGGGGGCTCTTCCCACCTCCCAGCAACTCAGTCCATACAAGCACTTTGACAGACTGCATTTTATTATTTTCACACTTCATGGAGATCATCTCAATGAAGCAACAGGACCAAGAATGCCTTTTTCAGGTTTTTAACATTGAATGACTCCCTAGAATGGCCACACTTCATTCTTGCAGAGAAATGTTTGTCTTGTGAGTAGATTCACCATTTTGTTCTGTCTCATCAGGTGTGGTTTCCAGCTATCAATGTGTTACTTTTCTCACAAGTATTTTTTTTTAGTAGTATCAAGTAAATCCTCAGGTGCTTCTCCATGTCAGGCATTATTAAAATGCCTGGCTTTACATTTTTCTCAACCTGTTCTATTTGCTTTGTTATTAGTATTTAGTAACTTTTTTCTTCTTACAGTCAAGAAAGCATTAAAAACATTTGTTTGTTAAACATCAAAATACATTGGTACATTTTTGCCTCTGGTTGTCCAATTTGGTAATTTTGAATAACAGTGAACCAAATTGCCATTTTTAGAGGGACAGAGCCTCAACTGGTGCAGAGTGAGAACCAGCTTATGCTATTCCACAAGATGGAAAACCTTAGTTGAGATCATCCTTTTGCAGACTCTGTGTTGATGAAGTCAAATGGTTTGGTGCATAATAATTATAATCTCTTCCCAACTATCCCTGGGAAAAAAAAAGAGCTTTAGGAAACATGTTCATTTCCTGCAATAAGTAGTCATTTAATTAAAGAACAAAAGTAACAGGAATCAAAAATGCTTGCAGCTGTGATTCTGTTAGACAGTATATAAAAAAGAATGAAATTATAATACATTAAATTAGTTTTTAGAACATGAACTTAGGTGTTTTACAAACTAATTGTGGTAAGTTCAAAATGTCTTGTCAACATAATACTGGATGACAGAGTGTCATGTCCGTTTATGTCAGAGGCCTTGGAATGGTAAAGCCTGTACATGCACAACATCTCCTTTTCCAAGGCAGGCTGCAAACCAGTTCCACACAGGTGGCAAAGGAGAGGAGGAGGCTCTTCCAAGTAGCTTCACTTCAGTCTTTTTCAGCAGCTTGTCCCACTCCACAGGCCAGACTCTTCTGCCTCCAGAGCTCGGGGCTGGCGTCCTGTCCCCAAGTGCTGCAGAGGCTTCACTGCAGAGTCCTTCTGTCACATCAACATCCAGGGAGCCTGCACTGAACCTCAGGGAAAGACTTCAGTGTTCCCTGATGCATGTTCAGCAGCAATATCAAAAAGTAAAGACAGATTCTTCTCAGAAGAAAATTTCTATGGCCTGTGAAATCTAGGAGAAAAGAGAGACATTTCTCAATAGAATTCAATTATTTTTTATTCAATTACTTTATGTTAGATTAACAAAATTTTTAAAGGCCCACAAAAGTATTCCTTCTGTTTAAGGGCACAGAGACAATGCTGAAGAATATTAGCAACTCTTCATTTTCCCCAGCACATTCCTGCTGTAATGCAGGTACAGTCCTCGGGGCCCAGTGTACCTTGTTTACATTTCTTTGGGAATGCAATTGCAAATACAGGTATGTAGTTGATGTGGGTTTTTTCTTTTAGTAAATGAAGCCACACTTAGTCATGGATAGCAATATTCTTTCTTGTTCTTTTTATTAAGAGTTCAACAATGTTGAAATGCTTCATAAAGTGTGAGGAGCTACTGTTGGTGAAATGTTTGATAGTCTTGTGAGTCTGAAATAAATATTCTTCTTGTTCTGTAGCCTTGTTCTTTTGGCTGAGATCTGTAATTAAAGCCCCAATCATTTGTAATGCTCTAGCACTAATTGTAAATTGGAAGCCTGTTTACTTCCAATATCCTGAACAAATTTCAAAATCTCTCATTATCATCTCCTCAAACTCCCCAGGTAGCTCCAATTAGGAAATGTATAGCTCACTCCAGACCGAAACTGCAGCCATCCCTTTTCCCTTCCCACATTTCATTCCATCAGTGCAGTGAAGCTGCTTTGTCCTTAATGATGCCTTTCTGCAAGTATCAGTGGCCGTGGAATCAGCCTCTCATATTGTTTCTCCATTTAAAGAAGGGAAATTAATGTTTTTATGTGTTTTTAAACACAGTCCAGGCACCTGGAGCAGGCACTGCCCTGAGCAGGTTCCCAGTGGCCCAATCACGTGGAGAGTGACAACAACCCAGACCTGTTCTCTCTCCTGACCTCCTCCTGCCAGGGAGTTAAGTGTCATTAAGTTACCTGGGGCTTTCTCCTTCCAATAGCAGCTGCACTGACAGGGAACACTGAAATCCCCAGGCTGAATCCTTTAGAAGAAATCCAGTTACAACAAAGGCATCACCCCTGGGCACTGGCCTGTTGTGGTCGGTGCAGTTTTGTATTTCTGAGCAGGGAATTTTTGTTTGTGATAAGGCTGCAGACTCAAGTACATTTAATTCAGAGATTTTTATACAGTGTATTAACTTGTCCTATTTTAAAAAATCATATTGTTTTCTGTGTTATATATCTTTTTTTTTTACCTATCTTTGGTGCAAGGAGTGCCAGCTGAGGGATGCTCTGCAGAATGTCTGCAGGTTTCTTAGTATGTGCTAATAAAAGCCCCTCAAAAAATCAGAAAATTGGGTTCTCTTCAGGAAGAGAAATGCTCCAAATTTCTTTTACTATTAACCTCCCTTTGAATATTCTCTCTCATACAGCATGTAAGAGTAAAATCCACAGGTTCAGGATTAAAGCAGAGTTTTTAGCAGGCAGTGGAAATAATCAGCTGGAAAACTGACCTTGTCAAATGTTTGCTCGATGCATGAACCTCCATTTCGTTACTTTTGTATTCATTCAGCTCTTTCCGAATTGCTGCCTAGGAATTGAAAAGAGAAAAACATGAACAAATAATTTTGTGTTTGTGAGCAAAATCCCAGACCTGCAGAGCAGAACAGCTTTCTGAGGTAGAAGGACCAGGTATTGGGTATGGCAGAGTACTCTGTGCTGATAGAAATGCTGAATATTTGGGTTGTATGGATTGGTGACACAATACTTCTCATTTGTTATTGATTGCTGACAGGGTCACTGCTGTCTAGAAGCAATTCTGACAGAATAACACCTCAGGGCTGGTTGTCTCACATTTAATAAGACTCCAGGTAAAATTTATTAAAGATTAAGAGAAGCTGCCAAGAAATTGATCCATTTTTCAGTCACAAATATGAAGGTGCAGTTCTGACCCTGACTTCCTAGTGTGTGCCACCAGTATGTGCAGAACTGTCACTTTCTTAAACCTGCTTTGTTAATTAAAACATGAACATTGAAACAGTAAAACCAGGAAAAGTCGAATTTTAATAAAAGTACCTACAAAGAAAATATAAAATCCTTATTCCATTGATTAGTATGGAGTAGCTTATTCACCATTTTAAAGAGTTGGGAGAGCAGCTACTGGAGTAGAAACACTCTGTTCCATTTCTATGGGTCCTCTAAACCCATTTGTCCCTTACTGGGGAGACACTGGGATGGAAACCAAAGCGTTTGATATCCACATCTCAGCACAAAGCCATGTTAACAGTCCTGTGTTTGCCATTTTGCCAGTAACTGTCTCAGCACCCTGCTCCTTCTGCTTCCTGCAGCCCTGAAACTTCCCAGCTGGTCTGGCTGAAATCATGGTGAACTATTCTTACTACTCAAGCAACTAAATGTGACACTTAAATTGGGCTGTAAATCAGTTACATGGCAGGTATGTGATGGGACAAAATGAGAGTTCATGCTCGGGAGAATGTCGGTCCAGTGACTCCTTGAGCATTCACAGGAAACAGGAAAGGAAATTTTTGACCATTTGGGACAAAACTCCCAGTCTGAGAATAAAGGTTAATACTCTATTGGCTGGAAATTGTTTTGAATTGGAGCCCAAAAAATTGTATTCACCTTTTTGGGTGGGTGTGTAGAAGCCTTTTGAGTACTAAATAGATGTTTTTATGATACTGGTATGATTTCAACATAAAAAATCATGGTAAAGTTTATAGAGATGAAATGTTGCAGAGGTTAAAGTCTGTTGAGAACGTGATGTATCATTACAGACAAAGCAAGGAGAAAGCAGAACTTTGTGGTTGTGTCAGTACCTTGTCTGCTGCTGACAGTCGTGTCCATGGTTTGTCCGCTCTCCTGTCGTAGTCCTGTGCTTTTGCCACTTCCACATAATCACTGAATCGAATCAGGATCTTTCTGTCTCTCAGTTCATCAACTGTAGGTCGCTGGTTAAGCTGGATTCAGAAGTTTTGTGAAATAAAACCAGGGTTAGTAACAAATGAATCAGAAAAAATGCAATATTTGTTGCTTTTCATCTTGGCTCAGTGTGCATTGACACATGGAAAACCACCCAACCCTTGGAAACTCCAGGGAAATATTTCATCATTTGGAGGACTGCTAGGAGAGTAATAATGGTTTAAATGGAACTGTGGGCTACAGAACAGTGCCTTTATCATGGACAAAAAAAAGAAAATATTTTTACCCAGATATTGATAAAATGTATTTTCAAAATGTGAAAGAATCATGATGGATTTTTTTTATGCTCTCTGGATGATTCTGGATGCTGTAGGATGTTCTGCTACAGCAGAGGCAGATTGTCTGTGTGAGATCCTCAGCACTAGACCCAGTGTAAGAATTTCAGTCTGGCTCTAATAAGTTATCAGCATATTTGGTCTGTAATTCCATTAGGGATTTCTACGAACAGAACAACACGATCTCATTCTTATTCTGAGAATATTTTAAATGCAAAAAGAAATGTACTATGGGGGCAGACCTGGTGTTCAGCAGGGAGTCAGCTCTGCTACAAAGAATGAAAAAGTCCTTTTCCAGCAATGGAGCTGACAAGTATGCAGTGTGCAAACAAATACCCATTTTCTGAGTAAGTTTGTATGTAAATATTCTACTAAATCTGATCTAGCTGAGATAAAGTAGATATATCTATAATTCATATTCCCAGACACTGCTATCAGACACTGCTGAGGAGGATGTATATTAAGGGAGTAATAACGACCTCTATGGCTGGTTGATATTATAGTAATTTTTCTAAATTTCTAAAAGCTAATAGCAGGTATTGCAAGATTTTACCTTTCTCGTCAGTCTCTGCTTGATTTCCCTTCTCTCTTCCTGTTCCGTTTGATCATTTCGTTCTGCGGAGAATATAAAGAAAAGGATGACTTTCCTCATGAGGAAGTTTGGTGTTTTCCACAGTTCCAGGCACTAATGAGCACAGCCAGACGAGCAGCTGCTAATTGTGTGTTTTGGTAATTCAGTGCATCTCTGCTGTGTGCTGGAGCACGGAGTCACCTCTGTGTGAGGACACCGTGCTGGTGCCAGTGGCAGCTCTGAACTCCACGGGCCTTTACTGAAACAACAGCAGCCACACCAACGCTCCACTCGGATAAACTTCAGAAGGAAAATCAAAACACTCCATAGCCGATCAATCGTCTTTTTTCACTCTGCATATTGCTGGAGCCAT